GGTACCTGTGGCTCCAAATACTTCACTCACAAGGGGGTAAACAAGCCCCCAAAATCATTTTTATTTTCCTGCTCCCTTTTATTTCACATAGATGCTTGGAATCCTTAAGGATACCAAATATAGTTAGGGTGGACAAACCTTTATGAGAAAGTGTGAAACAGGTATAAAAGATAGATATACCTATTGAGGACAGTTATGAACAGAAGGAATTTTGAATATTAAAGCTGAATCTTTGGGGGATATAGTGTGTGGTATGACTGTGGCCCATACTTTTGCATGGTGTTTTTAAAGATAACAATTGTCATATTTTTAATTGGTGGTGTTATAATGTGCATCAGACGGTTGAATTAAACTGTAATTGGATCTGTTAATAAAGTGATGATTTTTCAACTAAAACTTGGACCAATATGTTGTTATGAGTGTTATGTTTAGTTTATATGCAACTCTATGATTCATCTCTGTGGCACTTGTTTCCTGTGATGCGTTTCCTGTTCCTGCATCTTACTTCAGTATCAGAGCCTACGGACTGGATAAGCAACATGGTTGTTATTAGGAAGCCTGAGAAGATCAGAATTTGCATCGATCCCAAGTTTTTGAATATGGCCCTGAGACGGTCACACTACTTAATGCCAACACTTGACGATGTTTTGCACAAACTACCCAAAGCACGGGTCACGGGTCTCACCCTTGTTGATGCTAGAGATGCCTTCTTGCAGTGCAAACTAGATGAAAAGAGTAGCTACATGACCACATTCTGGACTCCTTGGGGCAGAAAAAGATGGCTCAAACTGCCATTTGGAGTCTCTGTAGCACCAGAGGTATATCAGCGAAAGCAGCATGAACTATTATGTGGGCTCCATGGAATTGAGCCAATAGCTGATGACATTCTCATAGTTGGCTGTGGTGATACAGATGAAGGAAGCTGCGCATGACCATGATGAGAAGCTAATAGCACTACTGGAGCGTTGCAGGCAGGTGAAGCTGAGACTCAGCGTAAAGAAATTGCAGTTCAAGGTGCACGAAGTCCATTTTCATGGATATATCCTGTCCTCACAAGGCTTAAAAGCAGACCCTGATAAGATTAGAGCCATTGTGGACATGCCACAGCCTGGCGATGCCAAAGCAGTACAGCGTTTTATTGGCTTTGTCACATATCTAGCTAAATTTATGCCACACTTGTCTGAGGTGTGTCAGCCGTTAAGAAGACTTCTGGATAAGGATGCATTTTGTTGAGGCAAGTGTTCAAGGCACAATATGACACATCTGCAAGAGATTTGCCTGAATTGAATATTGGGGAACGAATCCGTATGAAACCACTGCCTGGAGATTGAACAAGTCGTTGGAGAATGGGTACTTGTCTGCGAAAGGTATCACCATGCTCCTAACTTGTGGACATTGATGGAACTCTCTATCGTCGCAATCGTGTGGATCTGCGTGTGGCTGAAAAGCCTGATTCACACTATCCAGTTGACAGGCCAGACTCGCCTGGTAATGCAAGGGCAAACTCACCAATTGGTGATAGGGAATGTACAGTGATGATGCCACAGACTAATGTTAATGACAGTCCGGAGCAAGCAGGTATATCGGACGGGAGTGAAGAGCAGAGCATGCCAGTAAGTGGTGAGAAGAGCCCAGTAACCTCGGAGAGGGCTAAGAAACACTTTATACAACGAGGGCCAGTTTTCACTCGCAGTGGTAGACATTCACAACCACCCAAAAGACTTAACCTGTAAATATGTTATTACAAGGATTCATCCACATTTCACAATGATCATTTATTAAGAGGGAGATGTTATGAGTGTTATGTTTAGTTTATATGCAACTCTATGATTCATCTCTGTGGGACTTGTTTCCTGTGATGAGTTTCCTGTTCCTGTTCTGTGGGTTCTCTTCTAAGAACATGACTTCTGTACACTAACGGCTTATACTGTCATTATTACCACATAAAACATATGTAGTCACTAGTGGCCACGACAACAGTATTCGTTTTGTAGTGGGTAAGTTGAGGTTACAGACCAATATCTAGATACTGATGAGTTTGTCAATCCAAGCAGGCAGGATCAACAGGTAATACAACTATGTTACAGAAAGCAATCAGAAAAAGCAAAAACTGCTATGTTGATGCTGGCGACAGACTTCATCATATATTTAATTTATGATTTTGCCCATAGTTCCACTTAAATAATCTGTAGGTTCTCACTTGCAAACATCTAGCTAAATGCCACGTAGTGCATGACACTATACATGTTTGTGTGTGTATTGTGCATGTGCCTGCAAACACCTGGACATCTAAACAGTTCAATCATACTGCGTAGTGGATGCACATCTTTGGAAACATGAAAATGCTAAACTTGCCTTTGGCTTTAAAGGGTTCACCACTGATTACTCGATTTGCATAGTAAATTAACATAAGAAAGAAACAAGAGGATGTCTTATTTCTTTGTAATAAAAGCCTTGGATTGATTTCATACATGTAAATGGAAGTCTTTTTTTATAGAACTCCTCTTGTTATTCCTAGAACCATTAGCCCAAAGTAAAGATGATACTTTATGTTCCTACAGAGTTAAAATTCAGAACAAATTGTGGTTTTGAAGCCATTTATAAGTGACCCCTTGTTGTCAGTTGGCATATTTTACCTCATCTACTACTAATAGTTTTCATTAAGTGGCCATTATGAGACTAATTTTATGAACTCTACTGATAAAAAAATGATTTACATTTAATGATTTAAATTATACACTGGATGTCTCTTGTCCAAACTCCCATGTTAGAATTCTCAGCTCCCTTAAGGTTTGAAGGTAGAGCATTTCCATATAAAATATCTCCTTCATTTACTTCACTGTGCTCATTGTAGACACTCATAAAATTATGATCATGATTCCTTATCAAGGTAAGATAAAAACAAGTATGGTGACTTACTGGGTTAACAGTTTTTGTGCATATGTCTGTCATTACTGTGCTATAACAGGATATTTTTTTGTAGAACAAATACATATTATGATATTCTGCTCTTGTAATCTTTATTAGACATGTGCACTGCCAAAAAATTCGTTTAGTTTCGGTTTAAATTTGGATTTGTGTAATTTCGTTTTTCGGGATTCGGGTGTGAAAGTCAATTCGGATTCGGAATTCAGATTCGGACGAAATTCGGTAGCGGTAGGTCGAACGTTTGTTTCGTTTTCTGTTCTTATTCATTTCTTATTCGTTTCTTATTTGTTTCATTCGTTCGTGACATTTGAGGGGGAAAAAATATTTTTCTCCTTCTCTAATGTCACTTTGCTCCAACGAACGAATAAGAAACGAATAAGAAACGAACACGAAACGAACGTTCGAACTACCACTACCGAATTTCGGAAATGGAAATTCGGATTCGTTTGCATTCGTTATGTCTGTAATTCGGAATTCGGATACATCCGAATGTCCGAATTTTCGAAAATTCGTCCGAATTTCGATTCGGAACGAAACGAATCGCACATGTCTAATCTTTATGACATCTTTAGCTTAATGACTTTCTAAGGGTTTAAGGGTAAAAAATACAGGCCATCATTTTACTGAAGCTACATTTTGTTTACTTAAAAAGCTTCCTTAATAACTTTTATTGGTTGCTTATACTTTACCAATGATATTTTGTGCTAAAAGATATTTATGTTTTGGGTCCTTCAAATACTCACACAATCCTCAAAATAAAAGGAAAGATTTAGATCCTGACCTCTGAATGGCTAGGCAGTTCAGATTTTTCAAAACATTTGGGTGATATAAACAGGAATCAGACAACATTTGAGGAAATATTTATGAGACAATTTAATACAAATTTGTCAGCTTCTTTAATTCACAAATTCAGAAATTAAAACCTACTACTGCACTGTTTTATACAGTTAGATGAAAGTGAGTACCAAGAACCACTCCTTCTGGCAAGTAGCACAGGATGATTCAGCAATGTTGGTGCCAAGGTGTGACCTGCCTAAATTAGCTAATTTGTGACTGTTATCAAGCTAGCACCTTTCTCTTCATTAACTTAGGTATTTGCCTCTGCTGTATCTCATATCATAGCCTTTTAAAATACATATTTAGCACCATTTAAAAACTATAACCTTGTGGTTTCAATACAGCCTTGTGAAAATTTACCATAGATTGCTAGTTGTTATAATTATTAAAAGTTGAATTACTAAAAGCAAAATAGGCTGTTCATTTTCAGGGGAATTCCCATTCAAAGATCAAATTACCTTGCAAAGAGAAAAGTATTTTTGCCTTAAAGGGGTTCTAAACCCTCCGTTTTTTTTGCCTATATCTACTGCTAGCAAGCAGTAGATATAGGCAAAAAGTTTTTTTTTTTAAAACACGCTTTAACAGCGGTTTAAACTTACCCTGTTTTCGTCGTGCGCTCCCGCCCGAGAATCCAAAGCTGCTCGGGCGGGCGCATGCGCAGTTCAGATTCTCGGGCGGGAGACGAGCAGAGATGCAAGGTAAATCTATGGATGCGTTCACCCGCACGCAGACACCGCTGTATCGGAAGTGCCTGCAAGCAGAGAGGAGTCAGCGCTGGATCGGAGAGCCGACACACCACTGGAGGGACAGATGAAAACATCAGGAAAGAAGAGGAAGATCGGATTAAGAAACCTCATTTAAGGTAAGTGCTGACATTAACATTGGGGGGAGGGACAACATTTTTGACTTTAATGTCACTTTAAGTAAATCAACCTCTTAGTCTAATCTTTCTTTATTTGTAGATTCATTAATAATTTGCTAATTTGGTACAACACAAAGTAGATTAGGGGATATACAACAAATACAGTAAATTAATAGTAACTACAATAAATTAGTATATTTTAGCAAAGAAAATGTCCATAAAATACTATATCTGACATTTATAACAAAATCAAAACTATTTCTATATAGTAGTCTTTAAATGTTAGTGTTTTTTATTTAAGATGAATGTATTAAAATTGTTTAGTTACCTATAACTCTTTTATCTTTTGACCAGAGTTTTTTTCATTTAAAACATGGAAATTAATGATTCTTTAGTTTCCGAATTTATTATCTTGGGCTTGTCTACTCGTCCAGAACTGGAAACTTTACTTTTTATTCTGTTTTTGATTATTTACATAGTGGCCTTGACTGGTAATGTAACCATCCTCATACTGTCAATTACAGACCCTGGTCTTAAAACCCCTATGTATTTCTTTTTGGGACTGTTGTCATTTCTTGATATCTGGTGTACGTCAGCTACATTACCTAAGATGCTCTCAGGCTATGTGACACAGTCTAAAAAGATTTCATATTATGGCTGTGTAGCCCAATTGTTCTTCTTCACATGGCCAATGGGTATTGAGCTTTTACTCCTTACAGTTATGGCTTATGATCGATATGTTGCAATTAGAAATCCACTTCATTATGCATCAATAATTAACCATAGAGTGTGTATGAACATAACAATTATTATCTCTATTATTGGCTCTCTTAATTCATTGACACACACATATTGTACCTTTAGGCTCCCATATTGTGGTGACAATAAGATAAATCACTTCTTCTGTGAGATAATGCCTTTGCTCAAACTGGCATGTGCAGACACCTACATAAATGAGATTGTGGTCTTTACAGCTGATTTTATCCTTGGTATTTGCTGCTTCCTACTCACTTGTGTTTCATACGCCTTTATTTTCAACACTATACTTAAGATACGTACTGCTGCAGGCAAGCGTAAAGCCTTCTCTACATGTGGCTCCCATATTGTAATTGTATCTATGTATTATGGAGCTGTTATTTTTACTTACATCAGACCCAGGTCCAGTCTGTCTTTGGAGAAAGATAAAATAATATCTGCTCTTTATGCTGTAATTACACCTACTCTAAATCCTATCATTTATAGCCTACGGAATAAAGAAGTAAAAGAGGCATTCCAAAGAGCATTTAAAAGACTAGCACCACATAGATTCCTAAAAAAAATGCACCACCTCTATTAAGACTTCATTAACATCAAACATTTAGGTTAATTTATGTAATGAACAATATGCTGCATACTGCCGGTTTACATTTTCAAAAGGAGGACGTGCTTTTTAAAATGTCATTATTTTTTCACTACACAAGAATATTAAGCATAAGACTTCCTGATTTGACCAAGTATGAGATCATTAAGTCACAATAAACTAACAATATGGATGAAAGTGTAGCAAAAATGCATAAAAACTTGTGACCTTCACTATGTCTAAAATGTATGGTTTTGAAGAAAAAAAACTTTCAAACTGTTTTAGTAACTAGAAAAAACAATCCTTAAAACAGTTCAGCAGCTTTATAATGTTCAGTATGTGGTTAGTCTATTTTTACCATATTTTATATGTTTTAGATAGCTAATAGATAAACCAACCTTTTTTATTTTGTTACTCCAATAATGATCTATGTGAAAGCATTGTGCCAGAAATTGTGTTATTCATAGAAGAAACCAGTTTCAGTATTTTTTTTCCAGATTTTTTTCAGTTCTTACATATTGCAATAAAACAGTTCTTACAGGTGTAACACAAAATTTGTCAAATTGAATACATGAACATGCACTGAAAAAGTGCATCCTACGAGACTCTAAAACAATGTACTCTCTATTGTGTGAATTTTTGATACAATAAATTTACTTTTTGCAGAATAATATGGTATGTTGATGACATATTATACATATGTGAGTTGGCAACATGATACGCTAAATGCAAAACTCTAGAGAAGGTCTTTAGATTCAAGTTAGAGGCAGAGTAGGCAATAACATCCTATAATGGCACATTCCTTTCTCCTTGTATACAAACTGTAGAGGTTGCTGAGATCATGAGAAAACTTTTGAAACTGTTCTTCATAGAACCTTTGTATCAACACCACCTATTTCAGTACAAGAATAGCTTCTACATGCAGAAACATGGCTATGCAATGGGATCAGCACTGTCTGCCATTGTAGCTGACCTACATGTGGATGAAGAGGTGGTCGACTCTCACCACCCAATGGAACACAAAGGGTTTTTAAAATTCTACAACATCAAGCTAAGATAGTAGCATCAAGCACAGAGGTTAAGCCTAAGAATACAGGCATCTTAGAAGTGTTTTGAAAGTTTATGGCTACCCATACTGAGCTTTTATTAAAACAAGGTCAACTAAAAACACAGGACCATAAAATACATGAAGCCGCAGAACAAAGGGGTCTATTCACGAAGCTGCCGAAGGATCTAGCAGTAGCTTTGGCTGATCCTTCGACTAGCTTTGGCCCCAGGACACCTTCGTACGGGGTTTTCACTATAGCCTGTACAGCTCCCGAAGTGGGTGATCTTACGGCTGGCTCCGGCCACTTGCAGAGAGATCAGCGTTCCTGGTTACCAGGTAACCAGGGACGCTGATCTCCAGACAGCCTAACTCTCCCGGGTGCTCCGGGAGTCTCCCGGGAGAGAAACACATTCTAAAGGAAAGTTTTACTCTGCTTGATCGAGCGGAGTAAACCTTTCCCTGCTTTTTTTTTTTTTTTATTCTGACATCGAGCCGTTGGCTGCCGTCAGAATAAAAAAATATATATATTCACCATAGGAATGCATAGCTAGATTCCTATTGGCTATTTCAATTTGCAATAGCAAACTAGCTATTGCACCGCCCACTGCTGCTGTCAATCAGCAGAGGGGACCTGCAGTTCTCCATCAGGTCCCCTCTACTGATTGACAGCAGCAGAGGGCGGGTGCAATAGCTAGTTTGCTATTGGCTATTGCAAATTGAAATAGCCAATAGGAATCTAGCTATGCATTCCTATGGTGAATTTTTTTTTTTTTTGACGGCAGCAGAACTGCCCGGCCAATAGAAAACAGTTGGGCAGAGCTAGCTGTCACTGCTAGCTCCGCACAATCGTTTTTTTTTCTACTTTTTCAACTATTTTGCTATTCTGCTCGGTCCCACAGAGGGACCGAGCAGAACAGGCGAGCCGAATGCCGCTCAGTGGCATTCGGCTATTTACTCACTGCTGTTAGGCATCTATGAGAATAGACAGAAAACAGCAGCGAGTAGCCTGCCGGAGGTTCGGCTTACCCGATCCAGATGTTGGATCGGCTGAGTCGAACTCCTTCTGCATTTCGGGTTGCCTACGGCAGCTTAGTGAATAGACCCCAAAGTATTATAGTAATTTTGGATTGTTGGAAAAGTTCAGGATATTTTAACAAACATCACATCCCTGTGTTTTTCAAGTCCAGCAACAAAATAAAACAGAAGCTTTACATATAAAAGACCCGATACCAAAAGCAAGGGAAGTATACTCGTATATGCAGTTCAGTATAGTGTGGAAAGCAAAGCTCTGTTCATTGAGGAGACAAAACAACCACTCAACAAGTGCATAGGAGGGCAAACGCTGCTGTTCAGGACGAAGCAGCTCTATTCATTGAGGAGACAAAACAACCACTCAACAAGTGCATAGGAGGGCAAACGCTGCTGTTCAGGACGAAGCAGCTCTATTCATTGAGGAGACAAAACAACCACTCAACAAGTGCATAGGAGGGCAAACGCTGCTGTTCAGGACGAAGCAGCTCTATTCATTGAGGAGACAAAACAACCACTCAACAAGTGCATAGGAGGGCAAACGCTGCAGTTCCAGGTGCAGCTGTCACTTCACCTTATGGAGAATGGACAGATAGGTGAAGATTTTGGACAGCTGGTTCACAAGAGGAGTGAATAACACCATCTTAGTCAAAGTGGAACAGCCATACCTAAACAGGAGTGGTGGCCTTCGATACCACCTGACTTCCACGTATAACACCATTTTAACATCTTTGCCCCCTGCAATTTGACAACAATTCACACTTTTAGACATGCAGCTCAATCAATTACCTTCTCTTTCAGACTTTTATGCACCATGGTGATTTTGTGAATTTAAATGGGTGGTTTCACACCTCCCATCCTGTTCTTGAAAAATCATAATTCGCTTTAACACATTTCGTGACACAGTGGTGTTGCATTAAGGTGACTGAGGCATCCATGTGACAATCAATACTGGAGTTTGTTCCTGACATTCAAGGAAGTCACTTGATGAATAGTTAAGTCTTAAACACTACAGAACAATTCCACTATAATGTGATAAACTGCTAGCAATACATGCGTCTGGTGCATAAAAATGCTGTATTAATGGTTGCATGCATATATTTAGATAAATGTTAAAAAAAGCTTTGTACTAAATATGTAAAGGGTCATTTATCATAGAAAGTTACATGTATATTGTATTAGTATGCCTTTATTTATTACTTAATATTACTTACATCTTTGCAATAAACCCTAATAAACCTTTACTTGTTGTTACATTTCCACCTAAAATGCAATTACAATTCTATAATTATTCTATTATTATAATTTTAATTTTCATTATTTCTTCCCTGACAATAAGTCACCCTTGTTTAGTTTCCAGTAATCATATTGTGTAGAGATGTTCTGCTTGAGGTCCCTCTTAAACTCCATACAGAACCTTGGGGCAGAACCAATGTCTTTTTCGACTGAGGTCCCCTTAAAGTGACACTTAGGGGTCTATTAACTAAGCTGCCGAGGGCAGCCGAGTGAATGACTGATCTGAAGTGAAGTGAGTCGAACACTGTTCGGCTATTCACTTCAGGCTGGTACGGCTGATTTCAGCCGTACATCGGCTGAAATCAGCCGTACATCGGCTTGCTTCGAGTGGTTTCGGGTATGTTGTAAAGTAACCACCTCCCCAAGCTCGCTGACATGAAGGACTACAATCTCAATACAAATTAAACTAAACATGAGATTTTTAGCATTCCCAGCAGCACTCCGGATGTAGTATATCCAGCATTATAGGTTACTTAGCTGGACCAGTCTAAAGTAAAAAAAAAAAAAATTGTAGTTTGGCTTTAACTTTTAGGTTTTTGCTACTAAACCACATGTAATTAAAATAAATAAATAAAACTCTTGGTTATGTGTGTAACAGATTTTCTGTTCTAGTTTGCATGTCAACTGGGATTATCACATGAATTCTCCAATGATTTTTGTCATGGAAGAAAAACGATAAAAGATTGATGCTAATTAGTTACTCTCATCTTATGTACAGGAGCATTTCCTGCCTTCCACATCTCAAGACTGGCGATATTTTTCCAATAATTCAAAAGGTATTTTTCCCAAAAATGATCCTGTTTGCTTCAATCCCATTCAAATAAATTCAGATTTTTCTGATGTATCTAGCATTGTGGCAATTGCAAGAATGAAGAAACACAGAAAAATAGTGTATAACAGATTTTAACATTCATAGTTATTTTTCCTATTATTACTAGTTCTGTTTTTATTTTCATTAAATTATATAATAGTTAAATAAATAAAAAATTAAAATGCTATTTGCTGTGACTGACAGTACGGGAACTATAATTACCAGGTGGCACAACTTGAGTGCAAACGAAGTGCATATTAGTAGGTACTCTGATTCAGTTGAATGTATGCTAAATACCCGATAGATGGATAAGAATGTATATGTGAACGTTGTAGACGCACTGTCGTGATTCTAATATAATAGGATCCTTTTGGGATGTACATAAATTGCCTTTGCTTACAAGCCTCAGGTATGTCAGATGTTTACTGTTATCTGATCTACACATTTACTCACTAAGTGGTTAGTGAACCAAGGATAAGGATATAAACTCACATATCTTGCTTAAAGTATATGTAAACACTAACAATATACATATCATATTTGCCCCCTTCCAGTCTGATAAATATATAATTAAAAGCATTTTTTTACAGCTGTTTGATAACTAAGAGGCAAAAAAACTAAAGGAGCGCCTCCATAATGTAAAATGTTTTTTAATAAAAAAGCAAGACAGCTGAAACTGTACTTACAAACCAATTACGAAAACAAGCATGTGAATAACGATGGATAGATGAAATCATGGAGAGAAAAAAGGAGTAAGTGCTACATCAGAGCCTTCTCATAGCAGATCCCCTACGGGTTGATGCCTTTCTGAGGACATGCCTCCTTCATCAGAACCTGTGGTTCTGGTGAAGGAGGTGTGTCCTCAGAAACGCGTCAAGCCGTAGGGGATCTGCTGTGAGAAGGCTCTGATATTGCACTTACTCCTTTTTCTTCTCCATGATTTCGTCTATCCATCGTTATTCACATGCTTGATTTCGTAATTGGTTTGTAAGTACAGTTTCAGCTGTCTTGCATTTTTATTAAAAAACGTTTTACACTGTGGAGGCACTCCTTTTGCTTTTTGCCTCTTAGGCTGTTGGTCACCTAGACCAGTGGGAGCTGCCTCAAAAGTTTTATCAGACGGTGTTTCATGAAAAGTCGCAGGTGCTGGCGCCGGTGTCATTTACATTTCTGTTTGATAACTGTAAAATACAGAAATCCAGAGAAGTCCTGTGCTCTCTGAAACCTGTACTGCACTGAAATCACAAGCATTGTTTTCAGTCCTGCCAAGATCCAATCTGTGCACAGTGGAAAAAATCCCTTATATGTTATGGAGATGAGGAGAGGGGGGGAAGTTCTGTAGTCTGAATCAGGAGCTAACACCGCTCAAACAACAATTTGAGAACAGAAAGTGTGCTACTGGCAGGATCAATAATGAAGCCACCACATCTACGGACTGGTAAGCTGCAATATATTAAATTTTTGCTCTTGGACACTTTAAACGGAATCAGAAACTTTTGTATTTCTTTCTTGCTAAGTTTTCATTAATTTTGCTTTTTTGTGAAGTAGAAAAAAATCTGCGAAAAAACAAACAGCATCTCCAGCATTCCAAAATTATGCAAAAGACAGGGATATGTCCTGCCACAGACTTGTGATGTAGCATTTCAGGGCATCAAGAGACCCCTTCATAAAGGCGTTAGTAAGGCTCCCAAATTTTGCATCACAAGTCTGTGATAATAAATGTAAATGTTCTTGTTTTTTGTATAACCTTGGAGTGCTGGTGATTCTTTTATTTTTTCACTGATGCTGCACGGGATGAAGCCATCTGTCACTTTGTAGCCACATCACCCACTATTTACAATGGGTCAGTAGCTGAATTTTCACAAAGCAAGGTTCCATATTACCCAAAGTATTATTTATGTACAATGATTCTTTGCAATCTCTCCTAAATGCAGAAGCAAAATTGATGAAAGATGATTACACTTTTTAAACTTTATTTCATAGCTAAATGCTACTGTTCTAATTACATCATCAAATAGACAAATCATTTGTTACATAAATGTATATTTCATTCAATATTTAAATATTTATAAAAATAATTCTCAAAGCAGATATCTAAATAAGATGAGACACATGCACACTGCACACATATATTTTCTAGGGAAGCATTAATACTTTTCGAGTGCCAATGCTTGACATTTTCATGAGAACTGAAATCATTAGTCGATATTGTTTTAGAAAAACTGTCACATGACAATAAACAAAAATGTATCAGTACTTGTACTTGTAAGTACTTGGACATGTATCAGTACTTGTACTCGCAAAACTGGTATCGGTGCATCCCTTTATTTATCTTTATAAAAACAAAATCATACATTAAAACAGAGATGTACAAATCCCAGGAGCTCCGTGTGCTCCTTACAAATGACAGTTGCCTCCTAACATTTGAATTTTTCTCTAGTCTAGTCTTGGAGCTGGAAAAGTATCTGTACTTGTACCTGTACCGAGTACTGTACTTGGTATCGGTGCATCCCTAATATTTTCTATGTCTACACAGACACATACAGCATATATTAGAAATATATTAAAATATGTGGCTTAATAGCTGAATTAGTTGGGTGTGCTCGAAATCTCTAAATTATAAAAATATATAAATATTCATGCAAGTTTGAATTGCCTATTTATTGTCAATTTTGTGTAATATTACAAGGGTGTGCATACATCAAGCTACCACCTCCGACTCTTATTGTAGTTCCTTCCTGACTCCCCTTTGGCTCTATAGACGCAAGTCTATTCCTCTTCTAGATGCTTTATAAGGATTGACAGTGAGCAGGATTATTGCTCCTATCAAGAGAGGACCATCCATAGTATTCAAGCAAGCTATCTATGAAATTCTTTCTTCCTGGTGGGTTCACCCCTATCCGTCTACATCCATAATCTAAACGTCAGGTGTTTTATTTTAACCGGTAATAGATGTAAGTTAAAAAATATATGGTTATATAAAATGACTGATGTACATGTGACTAGATTGAATAGCCCGTACAGCACCCCTTCAGTTCTACTACGGCCAGATCCTTCGGCAGCTTCGTGAATAGACCCCTATGTCTTTTATAGAATTATTGTAGCCCACTCCTGAAGAAGTGAGCCACCGTGAAACACGTAGAGATTAATATATCTTCCCATCAACTGTTGTAAATATTATCAAATTATATGAAAGATACCTTGCATAGGACTATTCAATATGTTCAATATATGTGATTAAGCCTGATTGGAAGATAGGGCTTGTAAAACATATTTTCAAACAAACCTTCCTCTCCTTTTCCTTTTTCCCCCTCTTTTTAAATATGTTTTACAATGTATTCAATAAAATAATTTTGATATATTACTAGCGATTGTAGCTTGATCCTTGTGGTACCTCAAAAGTCTGTATGCTTTCTGAGTTCTCATTTTGTTGTATTTATTGTCAAATAGGATGCTCAATGTACTTTTATACTTTGTAGTTTTATTTTTTCCAGGCTTTTCTTTTCTTTATTTTTACCGTGATAATGCCAGTAAAACACTTTCTGTCCTTAGATTAAGATGCTTACTCACTGTACTGTATCTATGGGGAAGTAGTGTTGTCACCCTAGGACTCCAATACAGAACACCTCCCTATCTTTATAACATAGAGGGATGTGTTTTATAGTCCAGAGAGACAGGTGCGAACAATGAAGCCGTACTGAGCTGGAGTGAATAGCCGAACATTGTTCGGCTCACTTCACTTCGGCTCGGTTATTCACTTGGCTGCCTTCAACAGCTAAGTGAATAACCCTGTTAGTCTTATATACTGTATATTGTCATTAGGAGCTGGGTGGTGAGGATGTAAACCTTGTTTTATACAACCTTGTTTTATACATTTAAAAGGTACATATTTTGACTCGTATTATAGTATAATAAAATCAACATTTATAAATTACAAATATGACATAACACACACCATTATAAATCCATCATAACAAACAGATAATATTTTTAAAATTGTGTTGGGGAGGAGATTCTGTGCCCTTATATAGGGTTCTCTGTCTTCTCCCACCTGTGGGGGGTTTCTCTTCAGGAGATCCCCCCAACCTTGTACTTGTGGGACCTGTTTTGGCAGGTCCTGGAGGATCGGGGTCCGCCAGCCTTCGGGTTGGTGGACCATAGTCATCTCAACCCATGTCAGGAGCTTTGCACCCCGGGGGTCGGGTAATTGTTGCCCCTTCTGTTCGGAGAAGGACTAAGCACCCTTGTGCACTTTTTTACGTGTGTTGTGATTTCACGATTCACTTTTTTTGTTCACAGGGGATTTCGTTTTCGAGAAAAAAGAAACTGAATAAAAAAGTACTTAAGTGTGGGAATGGGACCTAACAGTAGTTTGTGACTCAGCAAGCAAATATTATTAAGGAATCCTCGAAACATTGTTTGCAGAATGTCTAGAACTGCCACAGTTTTTTTTCTTATCATATAATGTTTAAATCCTATTATTCAACACTGTTGATCATTTTGTTTTAGGTGCTTAATATTATGAAGGGATGAACACCGGAAATGAAAGCCAAATGGCAGAGTTTATACTGTTGGGTTTCCCCAGCAGCAGAGGACTACAGTTACTTCTATTTGTGGTCTTACTAGGTTTCTATCTCCTGACCATTTCTGCAAACCTGCTCATTATTGGGACTATAATATTAGATGTGACTCTCAGGAAGATCCCTATGTACATTTTTTTGTGCCACTTTTCTTTTCTTGAGATTTGGTATATCACTGCTACTGTGCCAAAAATGTTGGTGGACATCATTGCTGACAACAACATAATTTCTTATAAAGGCTGCATCACACAGATCTATTTCTTCTTTGCATTAGGACTCACTGAGCTCTTCTTCCTTGCCATGATGGGATACGACAGGTATTTGGCAATATGTCATCCGCTACATTATAACTCCATTATGACAAGTAAACGATGCAATCAAATGGCAATGTGTTCCTGGATTTGTGGCTTTTCCAGCAGTTTGTTATTAACTATTCCCAGCTCTAGACTTTTATTCTGTGGTCCAAAAGTCATTAACCACTTTTTTTGTGATTTTATTGCAATACTAAGCATTTCCTGCAATAAAACATTTGCTACAGATGTGGTTTTCTATGCCTTTGCTTGGATTATCATACTCTATTCTTTTTTCCTTACCACAATCTCATATGTACGTATAATAAAGACAATCAGTCGCCTTCCATCTCTGTTGAGTAGAAGAAAGGCATTTTCCACATGTGTCTCTCATTTGACAGTCGTTTTAACCTTTTATGGCACAATCATTTTTATGTATATCCGCCCAACCACTCAATACACTTTACACATGGATAAATTTGTATCTGTATTTTATGCTATTGTAATTCCATTACTGAATCCAATAGTCTACACACTTCGAAACAGAGAGGTTCATGATGTATTAAGAAAAATAATTACACGTGGATGTATACTCATTTAGAAAAGGTAGCCTTAGACCCCTGTTACATGGATGCCCCCAGCTCTGATTCTTCCTTTATCTTTTGATGGAGGAAAAACCAATGTAATCACAATGGGAGGTCTGATGTAAATGCATATGCATCTGCCTATATCAGCCTACATCTGGTCAGGTTAGTAAAAGCGGATCTGGGTGCAAACCTGTTGTGCTCAGTCCAACAAATGTGAACAGACCTGGATGCGGGCATTCATTGTAGTCCATTTGTGATCCATGTAATCATTGGTCAAAAAAAGAATGCCAGAATGCCTGTGTGAAAAGGACCTTAGTATTTATTTTTATATATATATGTTTTATGGAATACTCATTAGATAGAAATCACCAAAGTATTTATTTCACATACAGTTTTTGCATGTGTGGAAGTTAATTGTTAGTTTTTTAAATGCTATGCATATCATACAATATTATTTTATGTTTAATATTTTTGTTGAGTTTAACAAGGGATAAGGACCAAAATACAGTGGTAAAAATTAACAAAATTTAAAGTCACTTTGCGGAAGGTAAGGATCATTGAGAAAACATTAATAAAAGTACACAACAGTAGATTGAGTGCTAAGTTATTGAGTACTGATATTGTTTGGCTTAGTCATATGTATCACAGTGGCATTTGTCATATTCAGTAAGATAAGGGAAATGGATGTTTAGTAGCAGTGGGGAAGGGTAAAGAGAAAGAAGCGATGAAAAGAAAGGTAGAAGGGAAAAAAGAACTTGAAATGTCATGTCAAACACCTGCAGAAAAGAAAAAGACACCGGCACTCCAATAGTAAATCACCTGTACACACAGGAGGAGCACTATGTTGCACAAAAGGATCAATAATCGGCAATCAAAATTAGGGGGCAAATATTGTGAGATCTGTGGGTCCTAAATTTTGTGGAACTTCGTCGGCTTTATAGTAGAAGCGATTCTGGCAGCAAAGCTGTCGCCAGATTGCTTCTACGGGCCGGTAAATGGTCGTTCACCGATCACCTTCCTGTACTATGGGAACGGGAGCGATGCAGAGTACATCACTTCCGATCCCATAGCTGTCAGTGCTGGGCTCCTGAAGCGATATGCACGTCAATAGCTTATTTTAAGTGTAAAGGTTACACTAGGGGTCTTTTGGACCACCAGTATCACATTAAAGAGTACCTGTCACTGCCAATATGCTATCACATGGGGGGCTTGTAAGCCCCTCTATGTGATAGCAATTAAAGTCAAGTTTAAAAAAAAAAACAGTTTTTAAAATGAATATGAAATGAAATAAATGTAAAAATAATAAAAACATTTTTAAACCCCCCGCCCCCGCAAGCACGTGTCTACGCATTCAAACGGAGATCACGCTACACATGTTGGGTATCACTGTGCACGCCGGAGTGAGAGCAATAATTCTAGCACCAATGTTTATGTGTATCTTTAAACTGATGACCTGTGGGGGCCTTTAAAGCATCGTCTATGGACTTTTCGGGGTACTGAACTTTGTCACAGTTTCACGGACACACACAATTTTTAACCTGGGCATGTTAGGTATCTATTTACTTGTTGTAACCTCATATTTTATATTGTATAAACAAATGGATATTGTATTGTGTTTTGGAGCATTTAAGTGCATTTATCATTAAATTCTGGGGTTTGATAAGGAGTTGCGCTAATATTGTGCAATAAAAAATTTGCATATTGGAGCAACATTCACCATATTTATTCCCAGATAATTTTTGTACAAGCCATTCTGAATTGAGAAAGCTGGTTGGATGACCAGTGACACGTCTTCAAGAAAAATAAAATACAGCAAAGTCCAGTTGCCTTGACTTTTCTTTTTTTACAGATATACCATGACCTGGATGAATGAGAACCTTCACATACATCTCCTTGTTTTGGTACAAGGATATTTTTCAAATCATATAAGCATAAAAAGTATAAAAAAAAGAACATTCCAGCTATATCTACTATAGACAAGATATTAGGAATTATGTCTCTGCAGTAAGCCTGTCACGAGAAATATGATTGCCAACATTGCTGAACTCCTTTCTACAATGCTAGCTGCCTGGATGTTAACCTGAATAGCTTACTTCAATGCTTTCTGAATCACTAATTTAAAAATAGGAATGCAAATCCCATCAATACATTATACAGCCTTGCAGAATAATACCATTAGCTATAGAGGACTACAAATCCCAGCAAAACGTAGAGCAATGCAGAATAATAGTATATATATATTTGCCACATACTCTGTGCTGCTGCTCTACTCTGTGGTTCTGGCCTAATGTATTGGGCAAAGCTTGTCAGGAGGGTGCGGGGGTCTTAGTAAGGGGAGATGTGTGGGTGGCAGAAGCGCTGTAAGCAGGCATTGTGTGGCTCCCCAGAAGGCTGCCGCAAGGTCCCAAACCGGACCTAAGACACCTAAGTCAATTTGAAAAATGTAAGTGCTGGTATCGGTTTTTAGTATTGGGACAGAGGTCAGTTATAACGCAGAGTGCGGATTCCAGCAATGTAACGCAGAGTGCGGATGCCAGCAATGTAACGCGTGTGGAACTGTATTGAACTCAATGGCATCGCCCACAGTGCGATCGCCTGCACTCGGAACGCAGGCACATTAGTGCCTGCATTGCGGTCCAGTGCGATCTTCAAAAATAGTGCTCGCAGCATTTTTGCGGCTCGCACTGGACTGGAACACAGGCACTAATGCAGGCGATCGCACTGTGGGTGAGGGGCCTGCCTGCGCAGCCCATGCCCCCTCCCGCCCCTGAATGCAGGTGTTTTTTCGTTGGTAGATCTCAATGAGTTCGTCATCTGAAAAGTAGATCTCCAGACGGAAAATAGTGGGCGCCCCTGTACTAGATCATGTGCTCTGTCATGCCCTCTTCTTCCTCCCCGGGTGGTGGTGGTGGGGGAACAGCGATGTTTCTCCCATGTGAAGCCCCAAGCAGCCTTGATGCGTCTTCTCTGTCCCTACTCTGCTAAAATACATGAGCAGTCAATGGCGGTGCTGCACTCCCCCTCTTAGCCAATAGAAACTGGGGTGGGCTGAGGAAGATACAAGTGGTTGCCGAGTGCTGAGGTGCCCGTACAGCAGGGGGGCCACTGGACACATTTTTTAGTCCCGTGGGGGCCGCTACTATATAAGGTACCAGTGTTAATGTCTGTACATGTTACAAGCGGCAACTGTCACCCATTCAAATTAATGATCGGATGATAGCTGCTCAGTGGCGTCACAAGTGGGGTGCGGCCCGCACCCGGGTGACACCATCGGAAGGGTGACACCAAAATGACTCATTTTGGTGTCACCCCCCTCTGAAAAGTCGGGCGCTCGGTCATGGACCGAACTCCCGACAGTATCAGGAGAGAGAAGGGGACCCGGCAGCATACCTTATCCCGCCGCGTGACTGTCCCCTCCTCTCTCTGCCGGCGTTCATCACCAAGATGGCCGCTGGCAGGCATCCGAATGCTGCAGCTATAAGGGGGGGGGGCAATTGCCCCCCCCCCCTTGCCCCCTGTAGAGACGCCTATGAAATCAGGATATCTGATTTCACTTGCTCAATACTTGGACAGGCTCAATGACTAGGGAACAAAGAAACCACAATGTTAGCATTGATACTTCAGTCTTGCATGGTTGAGGACAAACTGAATCATGTTACTTTAAATCTCTCCAGGACTCCAGATGTAAAATGTCCCCATGAGAATTGACAGTTCTACCCAGTTACTATTTTCATTACAAGGCCATATGATAATGTCATGCTGCTCCCAAAAAGTTTTAAATAATACAAAATAAACAAGTTAGTTAGTGGGAAGTCCATTTTGAAGACTGTGAGTACTTTATTAATGTCTTGTGCCATTATTAATTACATTTTGCAGTCATTTATTGGTAAATAATTTTCCATGCAGAGGCTTTTTATTACAAGCATATCTAAAGGGCCATCTCAGTCTAGGTTTCACAAATATTCACTAACAAAAGGCCATCAATAACTACAGTTCAAATAGGAAACTTGTTCTGACATAGAAGCACCTGGAGATGTAAAAGGCAGTGTGGAACTGAACTACTGCTGGTATACCCTTTGCAAGATAAATGCTGTAAGAGTCAATCTTGGTCTCACCCTTCGATCCCCCAATCTACTCTATTGGTCAGTGAGTTTGGCCATAACATTGAGGAACCAATTGAGAATTTGTGGGAAGGGATAGGTAGGGACAAGCTTAACGTCTTTACTGAAGGTAGCCTCCCCTGATTGTTTTTCACCAAAATGAATGGCCCAGGTTTGAGACAGGTTTAATTTAAAGTCAGGATCCACAAGGTTAATGTTTGATAGCCAGTTCGATGCTGGCAAAAGGTTAAAAATTAGGATGGACTAGAACATCTCAGCATCAAATTGACAATGGCTTTTTGAAATGTTTTGTTCCTCAGAGATCATAGGGTTTAATAAGGGAGTTACAACAGAATAAACAACAGACACTACTTTATCCTTGTTTAGGTCATACTTTGCTTTTGGTCTTACGTACATGAACATAACAGATGCATAAAAAATAAGTACAACAGTCAAGTGAGATACACAGGTGGAGAAAGCTTTACCTTGCTTTCTTCCAGAAACTTTTAT